GTTCGAAGTAACACCTTTGTTTTCTTCCCTCTGTTTATTCCAGTAACTTACTTGAATGCAAAGACCATAGTTTTTATTTGCAGTAGCTTTAGATAATATTTCCATTTTTATTTTTAAATTGTGACATATAAAATTGTACATATTTATGAATTACCATATAATATTTTACTGTAGTTATACTTCCTGTCACTTTCAAATCAGAAAAACTTACCTTCTCACTTAACATTATTTGTCATTTCCGTATGGTGAAACCATTCAAAATCCTTTCTTCTACATATTTTTTTCCTAAAACCGGTACACCATCATCATCTATAGTCATCCAGCTGTGCAACAGAACACCATAACTTCTTTGTCCTAACTATAACTTGGCCTAATCAACCTTTCATAACTCTCTCCACCCCCACTCTCCCCTGCCTCGGTAACCACTGTTCTGCTCTCAAATTCTAGGAGGTCAACTTTTATAGAGTCTATAGATAAGTAAATTCATGTGGTAGATATCTTTCTGTGTCTATTGCACTTAAAATAAACAACTTTCAGTTCCTTCTACATTGTCACAATTTCATGATTTTCATGGTTGAATAATATTCCATTGTGTATATGAGCATCTACCATATTTTCTTTATCTATTCATTGATTGATGGACACCTAGGTTGTTTACGTTTCTTTAGCTATTATGTCTAGTACTGCAATAATTAAGGGTGTGCAGATTCCTCTTTGAAGGACTGATTTCACTTTCTTTGCATATGTACCCAGTAGTGGAGTTACTGGATCACTTTGTAGTCCTCATTGTGGTTTTCATTTGCATTTCCCTGATGATTAGTGATAGTGAGCTGTTTTTTAAACTTTATCTGTTGTCTGTATTTTTTCCTTTGAAAAATTTCATATCTATTGCTAATTTTTAATTAGATTTTCTTTTATTTTGTGTGCTAGTGAGTTTTTTCAGTTCCTTGTATATTCTTGTCAGATGTATAGTTTGAAAATATTTTCATTCATTCTGTAGGTTATTTCTTCATTCTTGTTTCTTTGCTATGCAGAAGATTTTTAGTTTCTTGTAAACCCATTTTCCTTTTTATGTTTTATTTCCTGTGCTTTTATGTTATTACCCAATGTCTTAAAGGGGTTCCTTGATGTTTCCTTCTAATAATTTCAAACAGCCAGGTCTTTGAAATCCATTTCAAATCAATTTGTATATCTGATGAGAAATAGGAATATAGTTGCCTTCTTCAGCACTTGAAATCCAATTTGCCCAGGACAATTTATGGAAAATATTGCTTTCTCTATGGCAGGCACTTGGCACTTTTCTTTTTTTATTATTTATTTGACAGATAGAGTTAGTGAGATAGAGAGACAGAGAGAAAGGTCTTCCTTCCGTTGGTTCACCCCCCAAATGGCTGCCATGGCCAGCACTGTGCCAATCTGAAGCCAGGAGCCAGGTGCTTCCTCGTGGTCTCCCATGCAGGTGCAGGGGCCCAAGCACTTGGGCCATTCTCCACTGCCCTTCCAGGCCACAGCAGAGAGCTGGACTGGAAGAGGAGCAACCGGGACTAGAACCCGGTGCCCATAAGGAGTGCCAGTGCCGCAGGCGGAGGATTAACCTAGTAAGCCATGGCACCAGCCCCATGCACTTTTCTTGAAGATTAGTTGTTGTAGATGCATGGGTTTACTTCTAAGTCCTCTATTCTGTTCCACTGGTCTATGTGTCTGCTTTTATGCCAATGCATTTTGTTTTAATTACTATAGCTTTGTAGTATATTTTGAAATCAGGTAGTGTAATGCCTCTTGCTTTGTTCTTTTTGTTCAAGTCTACCTTGACCATTTACGTTTTTTATGATATCATAAAAACTTTGACTTTTCTTCTAATTATATGAAGAATATTATTGGTATTATGATAAGGTTGCATATCTGTGTATCTGTTTGTGTATTATGGAAATCTGTGTATCTCTTTGTGTATTATGGAAAATTCTAAATATATTGATTTTTCCAACTCATGAACATGGGATACTACATATGTCCTCTTCAATTTCTTTCATAAATGTTTCAGTTTTCATTATAGAGGTATTTCCCCTCTTTGGATAATTTTATTCTATTTTTTGGTAACTATTGCAAATGAAATTATTTTCTTGATTTATTCATCAGATAGTTTTTATGGGTGTATAACAATGTTACTGATTTTTGTACATTGATTTTGTATAATGTAACTGTCAATTTTTTTGTTAGTTACAATTTTTTTCTTTTAGATGGAGTACTTGTGCTTTTCTGTATCTAAGATCATGTCACCTGCAAATAGTGGTAAATTGACTTCCTCCTTTCCAGTTTGGATACTCTATTTCTTTCTCTTGCCTAATTGCTTTGCTGAGGACTTTGAGTACTGTGTTGTTGTTGAATTAATCAAGATGTACATCCTTGTCTTAGTCCAGGTAGTACAGAGAAAGAACAGCTTTTTCCCATTCTGTATGATGGGCTATTGACTTCTTGTTATATACGTCCATCATTCTATTGAGGTGAAGTATTTCTATACCTAACTAGTTCAGAGCTTTGAATACTAAAGGAATGTTGATTTTTAAATGCCTTTTCTGTATATTTAGAGATGATCATACAGTTTGTCCCTCATTCTGTTGACATGATATATCATGTTATAGAATTGCATTTTTGAATAATTTTCACATTCCTGAGATGAATCCCATTTTTTCATGATGAAAATATTTTAAATGTTCTGTTGGATTCAATTTATTAGTCCTTTTGGAAGATATTTACAACTATGTTCATCAAGGATGTTAGTCTCTGGCTCATTTTTGGTGTGTCCTTATTCATTTTGGTATCTGGGTTAATGGTGGCCTCTTAAAATGATTTTGGAAGAATTCTGTCCTCATCTATGTTTTGTAATAACTTAAGAAGAATCAGTATTAGTTATTGTTTAAGTGTTTGGTAGTGTTTTCATTTCCAATAGGACAAATCCTTCCTTCAATGTCTCAATAACCAGGGAGCAATATGTAGGTAAATATATAGTGGGTTGTTTAGTTCATGAGCAGCAGGATATGGAGTTTATTGGAGAAGTCACACAGATATAGAAGTAAAATACAGAAAGAAGGCAAAGTTGAGGAGCCTGAAAGATGAAAGCTATTCATTGAAAAATAAAATATAGGAGAAAATCCAACCATATCTTTTCTTTCTTCTAGCTCCATAGTGCATGATATGCATTAACCATTGGGAAGGACCATTAGAAAGGGGCTGAGATATCTGGCATAGTAGCTTTGAAGTGAATTGAATCTAGATTCAGAGGTGAATGTAGTTGGCTAAACCTAGCCCTTTGAAAGTGGGGAGGGGGCATCTTTCTTTACAAAATGATCAACGCTACTGCATTTTCAACAATAGAAGTGGATATCTCTTTGTAAGTTAAGTATCCCGATGGACTCAATTCATTGTTAAATTTGTGTTATGCCCTTTATGAAAATAACTAAATGCACAAAGAGAAAATCATTTCATGGAAAAGCTTGAATTTTTCCCTTATGTGAAAAAAGTCCTTTCTGCCTCGGGAGTTTTTATTTACAGCAGCTCTCCCAAGGGTCTCTCCATCTGCTCATGCTTTCTCACGGCCTCAGTTAGCATGCTATGTTAAGAGTCCAGATTTACATAACTGGCTGTTCCCTATTGGAATAGATGTATTTTAACCCATTTTGGGAAGCATGAAGTAACACACACATACACACACACACACAGGATATTGTAGTTATTCAGAAAGCTTATTGTTTCTTTTTTTCTTTCAAAGCCTCTTTCTCTTTCAATTCCTGACAGTCCTTGAGTTTTATGATTTGTTTCTTGTTTAGTTAACTTGACTGTATTCTGTGTGAAACCATTATAGACTTACCCTTTATCTTATTGCCAAGAAGAATGTATAATTAGAACTCTTCATTTAATATATAGATTTTGTGTTATAGGAATGGTATGGAAAAATTTAATGAAGTTGTTTTAGTCAAGCAATTAGCAGATATTTCATATGTGAAGCTTAATTGGGATGTTGAGAGTGACTTGTAAAAATAAAATTATGTAGAAAAACTGAAATTCCCATTTCTGATTCTTTTTGCATCACCTATTAATATTAATATGGGATATTTTCTTTCCTCATACTAGGACGGTTCACACAGCCAATATCTGTCCTTATAGCTTTTTGAATATTTAAATTGATTTTCATGAACTGGAAATCTGAATTTTTAATGTGACAAAATATGTCAGGAGAAATATATGGGATGGAAGTTTAAAATGATGCATGCTTAGTTTTTAAGTGTGGCTTCTGTTATCATCTGCAACTACATCAAGAGATATATTTCAAGTCCTCTTGGCCTGCTCTCCTGAGGAGATTTTACACAAAAGCCTCTTAATGGGTTGTCAGCTCTTTTCTGCCTTAGGATGTAGGAGAGGGAAAGAGATGCATAAACTAACAAACTAAAATATACTAGTGTTGGAAATGCTAGACATGAGCTTTGACTACACCCATAGACTGGTGACTGAAGGAAGAGATTCCTCTCCCCTTCCTCTCACCATGATACTAAAGCTGATCTCCATTCAAGATAAAAGGAAAGTTCTAAAATCTAAGATTATATCAATATCAAAGGGAGGTAATAAAACCGTACAATTATAAGCTTATGTTTTCCTTTTCACTTTAGGTCACTTACAAAGTCAACTCAATGAATATGAGCACCAAGGCTCAGAAGGGTATGGGCAATGTTTATCTAGACGGGGGTTACTAATGAAGTGTTGCACTAATATGACTTTCTTAGCATTTTAGTCCACTAGGAATACTATAAACTGAAAGGAAACGTATGTTCTAAAAGTATCTCAGAATCAAAAGGTCAAAATAAAAAGGCATCTTTTGAATTTGGTTCAAAAATGTATGACAAGAATAAGATATGGTAAGAGAAACTACTGTGATATGAATGTATTTCTGAGATCTCTATGCAATGTTTTTTCTTTAAATATTTCCCATTTACTCTCCTATCTTTCAGTTTGATAGGTGATTGGAGCTCATGGAACAATGCTTGGAAGTCAGAAAAGCTTCCCTTTTGCTGAGGAGAGAGATTCTGCATCCTGCACAGAGGTACACCACTCCCTGGGCAGTACCAGGGCGGGGGGGACACTAGAGGGGAGCTTGAAATCCATTATGGCCACATCACAATGAGATCCTGGAGAGCCGCTTAGGCAAAGAATCAGCAGAGAGCTTCCCATGCTCTCCAGTAGAGAGTCTAGAAAAGTCGTAGCAAAGACGCAGTCCTGAACTGGCCAAGCAGCCACAAAGAGGGCTGTCTACAGCCCTGCAGCCATCAAACTGAGTGCCATGTGCCTTAACAAGTGGATTAGTGCACACTGGTGGAGACAGCAGGTGTTAAGACCCAGAAGAATATCGCTTACTGCACTACAACTTCATCCTCAATCACCCTTTTGAACTTTGTCTCAATGCTAAAGATGAGAGAGAAGAGGGCACAGCATACAGATGGTGATTAAGCTTTGTCATCAAACATAATGGAGGTTAACATGGAAATTTAGTTGAGCTGTAGCTAATGAACTTATAACGTGTCTCCTAGGAGTGTGGATTCAGACTGATGCTCACTCTTATGAAGATAAAGAGGAGGGGATGATGGGGCTGTCAGCATACCAGTGCTCTTCTTCTTCTTCTTTTTTAAAGGTTTATTTATTTATTTGAAAGGAAGAGTTACAGAGAGGCAGAGGCAGAGAGAGGGAGAGAGAGAGAGAGAGAGAGAGAGGTCTTCCATCCTCTGGTCCACTCCCCAGTTGACCGCAACAGCCATAGCTGCTCTGATCCCAAGCCAAGAGCCAGGAATTTCTTCTGGGTCTCCCACACAGGTGCAGGGGCCGAAGGACTTGGGCCATCTTCTACTGCTTTCCAGGCCATAGTAGAGAGCTAGATGGGAAGTGGAGCAGCCAGGACTTGAACCGGCACCCTTATGGGATGTGGGTGCTGCAGGCAGCAGCTTTATCCACTACACAATGGTGCTGGCCAACATATCAGTGTTTTTTATTCACTTGTTTGCCTTTGGTGGAAGCCAGAGAAGCAGTGCTCGTTTCTCTAACAAGAACATAATTCTCTGTGGTGGCTGTGTTGTTCTAAGGGGCAGTGTGCATCAGTGGAACAGCAATAATTTCTTAATGCTGCCTCCATGCTCTGCTTGGAAATTCTTTGCTGCTGGAAGTCTACCTTTAGTGAGACATAAATTTCATTGTTTGACTTGCTCACTTATTAAAGCTGTCTTGTATTTAATATGTATTTTTGCTATGAGACACAGGTTAGATCACACTTTAAAGGTCTACTTTTGTTTGCCTGCTTCTCTGGGTTCCTGTACCCACACAGGAAACCTGGAAGAAGCTCCTGGCTTCAACTTGGTGCAGCTCTGGCTGTTGTGGCCATCTGGGGGAGTGAACCAGAGGATCGAACACCTCTCTCTGCCTCTGCCTCTGCTTCTCTGTAACTTTAAAAATTAAAAAAAAATAATACAAATTTAGCATTAATTTATGGGGAAGAAGTGGTATGCAACCTTATAATTGTAAATTGTGGGTCTGTGGGCCAGCCCTGTGGCATAGCAAGTAAAGCCGCTGCCTGCAGTGCCGGCACCCCATATGGCCACCGGTTGAGTCCTGGCTGCTCCACTTCTGATCCAGCTCTCTGCTATGGCCTGAGAAAACAGTAGAAGATGGCCCAAGTCTTTGGGACCCTGCACCCATGTGGGAGACCTGGAAGAAGTTCCTGGCTTCAACTTGGTGCAGCTCTGGCTGTTGTGGCCATCTGGGGAGTGAACCAGAGGATCGAACACCTCTCTCTGCCTCTGCCTCTGCTTCTCTGTAACTCTGCCTTTCAAATAAAATAAATGAATCTTTAATAAATAATTGTAATTGTTTGTTGTGATTATGGATAGGCCCTTTAGCATTCACTTTGAAAAGTTATAAATGATTTTGGGAAAATTCAGTGGCATAAATTTTTAAGATTTATTTATTTACTTGAAAGAGTTACAAAGAGAGAGAAGGAGAGGAAGAGAGAGAGAGCACGAGACAGAGAGAGAGAGAGAGGTCTTCCATCCTCTGGTTCACTCCCCAATTGGCTGCAACGGCCAGAGCTGCGCTGATCTGAAGCCAGGAGCTTCTTCCGGGTCTCCCACGTGGGTGCAGGGACCCAAGGCCTTGGGCCATCTTCTGCTGCTTTCCCAGGCCATAATAGAGAGCTGGATTGGAAGTGGAGCAGCCAGGACTCGAACCAGTGGCCATATGAGATGCTGACACCACATTCGGTGGCTTTACTTGCTACACCACAGCACTGGCCCCAAGTGACATAATTATTGAGTCTTCCTCATCTCTCTTTAATAGTATTAACCATTGGTATGGTTACTTTGGGACATAAAGGGCAATGACTACAATAAAAAAAAAACCATAATTAAAGGAGATAAGGGTGAATAATGGCATTATAAAACCTCCATGTAAGCAGGAGGGAAGAAAACAAAAACACTTCATTACAGTCCTCTGGTGCTTACTGCAGTCTACTCCAGTCCACCTTGAAAACAGCATCTGAAATTAGAAAAGATGCTGCACACACCTTTCTGAAGATGAATGTAAGTAATATGACAAGGTCTAAAAAAACCAGAAAAGCCCTATAAACTCTCGAAAGACAAGACAAATTTAAATGAGCCCGAAAGTAGCACAACACAAATTGGGCAAAAGAGTGAGAGTAACAGTTGACTGTGAAATTTTATATAAAAAGGTTTATATGTGGAGGAAGGGGAATAAACAAGGCCATTGTCAGAAAATAGGGGATTATAAATGTTAAAACTTCATTAAAACTACAAAGCAGAATTCTAGATTATTGATGCTAGAAAACTATTATGTTGCACCCATCTGTCTTATAAGTTAAGAAAAACTAAGTTGGATTCCATGTGAAATTATTATAAGAAAAAAAAAGAAGCAAAGAGAACGAGGAGAATTCTAACATCCCTATAGATAATTAGAACTGGAAAGAAAACAAACACAATGTATAACCTAAAAACCTAATGTGTCAAAATGAGCTAAAAATGAAAGTGATTGGTGATATGAAACAGGAGCATAAATAAAAATAAGACAACTCAGATATGAGATGATAGAGGTCAGGAAACAATTACTAATCAGAAAAAGGTCATTTCAGAAATAGACTTTAATTTTAACAAATGTAAGAATAGATAACACTACAAATGGCACCTGTACGTAAACACAAGGGAACATCAAAAAGTTCCGGGAACAAATGGAATCAAAAGATAATTAACATTTCCAAAATATTTCTCCAAACGTCCCTTATAGAAAACATTGGCGAGCATGATGCCACTTCAGATGCTGACATTCTATGTCAGATTGGTGGTTCAAGTCCTGGCTGCTCTGCTTCTCATCCAGCTGCTTCCTAGTTCACCCAAAGAGGCAACAGAAGATAGCCAAGTACTTGGTCATGTACATAAGTGATCAGGATAAGTGACCCAGATTTGATTGCTGTGGCCACCTGGAGAATAAACCAGTGGATGCAAGAGCTCTCTCTGTCCTTCTGTAGCTCTGCATTTCAAATAAATTTTGAAAATATTTTTTGGGAAAGGAAAACAAAAATGTAAGGAGAAATAATTTTTAAAAAGTTAAATATAAAGAAGATAAGCAAAGAAGGTCTAGCAAGCATATAATAGGAATTGCAGAATTAATAAAAGCAAAACATTGGCAAAAAGAATAAGTACAAAAAGTGTAATGCAAGAAAATGGGTTTGAAACTAAAATAAATTATATCATGAACGTCTTAATTTCTTGTGAGTGAAATTTGGCATGGAATTATATTATTTAAAATATGCACAGAGAGGTAAGTCATATTATAGTAAAATTACTGGACTTCCCTCTAGACAAAGAAAAAGAAATATAAATTGAAAACAAATGAAAAAGCAGGAGAGAGCCACTAAGAAAAGAAATAATATCATCAAATGTTTCGATATTAGTGCCAGAAGATAATGGGGATACTCAATGACAGAAAAAGGGAGCCAAGGGCTTCATACCAGAAAAAAAATGACTTTCTGATTAAAAGGTGCATACAAATTGTAATAAACAAACAGTAACTCAGAAAATATTTTTCCCTGAGGAATGTATCTGAGAATCAGTTTCATACAATAATAAAAAATGGAAAAAATTTGACATAAATGATAGTGATGTGTACCTAAATAAAAGAAGACCTGAAAAACTGTGAAAAAGCGGAATTAAACAGGTGCATTAATTTTGGTGAAAAAATATTGATATTTGATATCCTTGCATGTTTTCTTCATAATATGCATTTCCATGCACTTTTAAAAACTGGTCACACGTATTTATACATGAAATTACAACCAGATGATAATATAGGAGAGAAAGGCCGGCGCCGCGGCTCACTAGGCTAATCCTCCGCCTAGCAGCGCCGGCACAGCGGGTTCTAGTCCCGGTCGGGGCGCCGGATTCTGTCCCGGTTGCCCCTCTTCCAGGCCAGCTCTCTGCTGTGGCCAGGGAGTGCAATGGAGGATGGCCCAAGTCCTTGGGCCCTGCACCCCATGGGAGACCAGGAAAAGCACCTGGCTCCTGGCTCCTGCCATCGGATCAGCACGGTGCACTGGCTGCAGCGCGCCGGCCGCGGTGGCCATTGGAGGGTGAACCAACGGCAAAGGAAGACCTTTCTCTCTGTCTCTCTCTCTCACTGTCCACTCTGCCTGTCTGTACTGATTATTTCATAGTTTTTATTTGGCAGAAAATTTGTATTATTTCAAAGCAAATGTTGAGTGAGATGCAGGCAAAAGAAAGGAAGAGACTATCACCTTAATATTGTGTATGGTGGAGCCCAAACAGAAAGCAACAAACAAGGGGAGAGTGATGAGGGTTATATAGCATATTATGTATATTACAGCTTATTACTGTATTATAACATATAACAAAGGAGGACACACTTGAAGCCGAACTATCAATTATCAAAAAAGTAAAGTGGGGCTTACTTTAAAATTTTCTGATTGGCAAATGAAGCAACAGGCCATATTAATTACACTCTAGAATACACCCAATACAAAGAGATTCAGAA